AAAAAAATACAGTTTCCGTGTAATTATTTCAGGGCATAACCTAGCCATGCGGGCGGCCGGGTGCCGGGGACGCAGCCCTGCCGCTCCTATTTCAACACAGGAGGCTGTCTCATGACAGTAGCCAGGATTGCAACCTGGGCATGACTGGACAGAATACCTGAGATACTTTCTGGTCAATCAAGAGGGCTTGTGGGGTTGTTAGATCTGCAGTGCACATGGGTCTCACACTGAGGATGCAGAGTGAGAGCTTCATGTGTGAGTCTAGCCCATGGGTTGAAGAGATACAGCTTCAGGAGTTCTCAGGTCACAGAGAGCATTCTGAGTCAGGAGAGCAGGGCACAAAAGTGAAGGGACATTTAGAGAAGAGCCTGCCTGTAGATGGAGAGATCACGTTGATAGCAGACTAAAGGACTCAGGTGGTCCAGCTACATCAGGGCGAGAAAGGGTTGTATGAAGAGAGGCCGAAAGATGCTAAAGACAAAAACCTTTCTTCTTTATCTTTAAAAATCACATCTGTCTGTCTGTCTGTCTGTCTATCTATCTATCCATCCATCCATCCATCCACCCTTCTGTTTTGTGTGTGTGTGAACACATGTGTGCATATGTGCATGTGTTTTCCACAGCACACATATGGAGGTCAAAGGACAATCTTTGAGAGGTGACTCTCTCCTTCACTGCATGGGTTACAGGGACTGAACTCAGTTTGTTAGGCTTGGCCGCAGGTGCCTTTATCTGCGGTGCCATCCCACTGTTCATAAACTCCTTTCTTTACCAAGAAGAGGGGAAGAAACCTTCCTTTTTCTCATACACTGTCACACTGCTCAAAATCCAGGCTAAGCATGGCATTAGTAGGAACAGTTAACAGAACTACCTGACCTACTTATAGCACTCTGGTGACTGAAATGGGAGATTGGCATTATTTAGTTAAACTATCATAACTGACATTTCTGCATATCAGAAACCTGCGAAGCAAGAAATGCCAGCATCTAGTCGAGTCAAAGGAAATGTACACCATGAAATGCAGATTTGATTTCTAGCAGTGCTGGTGGATCAAGCAGCTGTGAGCGGGGTGGCCTGATTTTAAGAAAGTTAAGAAGAACGGCTGGAGAGATGGCCCAATGGTTAAGAAAACTTGCGCTCTTCCAGAGGACCCATGTTCAATTCCCAGCACCCACATCAGGTAGCTCACAAACACCTGTAACTTCAGCTCCAGGGATCCAATACTTCTAGACTCCATAGGCATCTTCATTCATGTGCACAGAAATCAATTCCTATAGAAAATAAATCTCTAAAAAAAGTTAAGAGTAAACAGAGCTGAGCCACAATCCCAACCAAGTTTGAGAGAAGCAATGGTATATTTATCTAAAGGCACTAAGATGGGCAATTAATTAGAATCTTTTCAGTACATTTTATATGGTTATTAAGCAAGAATGTGGGCAGAATCATATTCATAGTAAATACTAAGATAAGAGCAACATCATGTTCATATGGTAGCCTGATATGAGAGATCATGCTATAACATACTATTTCATATGCATCCAGTATCAAAGCCTCTGTGGCTTATAAGGACATACGCAGAGATAAAGCGGGGAACAAAATGCCTACTGGAGTCATACAGGAATTTATATGGCGCTGAGCAGTGGTGGCAGACACCTTAATCTTAGCACTTAAGATTAAGAGGCAGAGGTAGGTGGATCTCTGAGTTCAAGGTCAGCCTGGAGCAAGTTCCAGGACAGCCAGGGCTACACAAAGAAACCCTGTCTTGAAAAAAACAATAAACAGACAAATTTATATGGAAAAAGTTGATTTTTGTATCTGGGAGGAAATTTTAGTTTGGTCTTTCAAACAGATTAATGATGCTTCTATTTATCTCTCATTATTAAAAATTAAAATCAATACTAAGGAGATACCTGTGAAAATCATTTGAAATGACTCACTGCTCTTTCTCACATGTACTTTCTCACATGTCCTGTAGGTGTCGCTATCTCCAGTGCTCGCCGCCTCCCTAGAGGGGCAGGGATGCTTTCTCTGGCCACAGGCCTGCTGTTAGCCCTGCTCATTCTATAACCCATTCACCAGTATGAGGCTACAGCGGAAAGGGTAATAATCTTCAAGGGTATTCAAGGGGCCAAGGCCAAGCGAACAGAGGTTGGGGGAGACCAGAGTACTTCATGCAAGGTCAAATGGGCCACACACTCTGAGGCAAACTCCTTATAGACCAACTGGTGTTTGGAGAAAAAGTGGGGTAAGAATTGGCAGCGTGGGTCCTACACGCAATCACCGAATGTTTCAGTTCTTAGCAAGCAGGGAGGGGCCTTCAGGGTCAGCAGTCTAGGATGGACCAGGGAAGCCTTTCTCTACAGATTTTCCCTTGCAGCATCTCAAACACGTAGAGTGCTTCTGCCAGAACCTACCGAGAACAGGAATCTTTCGAGATGTCTGATGGTTATAAATGAGCAAATTTCCTTTAATGGTCCCAACAGCCAGGAAACTTCCAATTTTTGACCAAAGAAGGAAGGACATTTGATCCCTGTAATATTAAGACACATATTACAGAACAGTTCACAATCATAATCCTCTCATACTTCATGTATAACTTTAAACTCTGCTTAGAAGCTGAAGTACAGCAGTATAGCTCATGGGCTTTTAGCTGTAATCCCAGCACTCAGGAGGCAGAGACAGACAGATCTCTGTGAGTTCGAGGCTACCTATAGCTACATAGTAAGATTGTCTCAAGAAAAAAAAAAAACAAACAATAAAAAAACCCATATAGCTTATAGTTTTTAGATGAAGACTAAGTGCTACAAGAATTTTGGAGGCAACAGAGAGATGGCTCAGAGGCTAAGAGCACTAGCTAGACCCAGGTTTGATTCCCAGTACCCACATGGTAGCTTACAACTGTCTGTAACATCAGTTCCAGGAGATCCAACACCCTCTTTCTGGCCTCTGAAGGTACCCGGAATACATGTAGTACCGACATGCATGCCGGAAAGCCCATACACATAAAATAAAATTAAAATTTTAAAAGAAAATTTGGAGACAGTACAAAATCATCTTGGTAGCAGTTAGACTCAAAATCCATGTAAATGCCTGGTGGTCCAGCCTGTAGTTTTAGTGCTTGTTAAGACAGAGGGGGTCTGCGGAGCAAGCTGTCTAGGCGACCCATGTTGGTAAAGTCTGGGTTCAGTGAATAAGGTGGAGGGTGATCCAAGAAGGCTCCCCATGTCAGCCCTGGTCTCCACACGCACACATATATACTAGGGGGACAAGGAGTTCTCCTTAACACGGCAAATGAAATCAGAGGAAGCGTTGAGAATTCATAATCTTAAGGATGTATCTTGGCTGAGCATATATTCCAGTGGTAGAGCACGGGAAACAAAACCCTTGGTCAATTCCTAGCTACAGCAAAAAAGAGAAGGAAAAAGGATTATGTTTGTTGCCCATCACTATTACAAAGTTGTTCAGAATCAGAAAGAAAGCACTTTGTCTAAAGGTTTTTTCCTAAATCACATTTATTTATTTGAGTGTATGGGAGCAACACTACAGCTAGAGGGCTGCTTGCAGGACTTGGTTCTCTCCTTCCACCATGTTGGTCCCAGTGATCAAACTCGGCTCATCACCTCAGGGCCTTCTGGCCAGCTCCCAGTTCCTGCATATATTCCAGGACTCACAGGCTCCTATTCTATGACTCCCTACAAAAGGGCATGAGAACTCTTTGGGGACTGAGAGAAGAAATCACAGTGGGTCCAAAAATAACAGTTCTCAAAAGTCATCCCAGAGGTGGCGGCAGCATCCCAAGGAGGTGCTGGAAATGCCACTTACCAGCTCCCATCTCAGACCTACACAGTAGAAACTCAGGGGGTGGATCTAGCTATGTTACTGACTCTCCTAGGTGATTCCAATGTAGCTACATCTTGAGCACCACAGATAGAGTGTGCTTCTGTCTTCAGAACATGGAGTAAGGACAAAGGTTAATTTGGAGGAGACTCTCTCTAGCTAAATCTGGGATCAGAGCACCAAAAATTCCCAGTACAGTTGACGTAAGTTTAATCTGTGAAAGGTCATACATTATGATGAGGTGACATATTTGGAGGTGAAATATTAATGAAGTATATGAAAAGTTAGCTGCAATAACTGATGAATAAAGTTAACAGTAATAATATCATAGTTATAATAAATACATATGATAATAAAGTAAAATTAAGTTAAGAATATCAGAGGCTGGCTAGATGGCTCAGCAGGTGAATACACTTGCTACCAAGTCTGATGGCCCAAGTTCAATCCCTGGGATCTACACACAAATGCTTACACAGTCATGCACACATATACAGTCATGCACACATGCAGATGCACACACACAGTCATGCACACATACACAGTCACGCACACATGCACACAGTCATGCACACATACACAGTCACGCACACATACAGTCACGCACATACACATATACACATGCAGTGACACACATACACACAGTCACGCACACATGCAGTCGCACACATACACACAGTTATGCACACAGTCACGCACACATGCACACAGTCACGCACACATGCACACAGTCACGCACACATGCACACAGTCACGCACACATGCACACTGTCATACACACATTCATACTCCTACACAAAACAAGCAAATGAATGCCAACTGAAAAGACTGCATTCTTCTTTTGGGAAACACGAGGAGGTGAGAGGACACCCGTGGTGTCCTTGCCATCCACTTTGTTTGAGGTATGGTCATTTATTGTGCGACACTGCAGTCATCACCTCCAGATTTTCCCATTTCAATTTTTTCTCATCGTGTTCATTTTTGATACGTTTACCAAAAGACTTTCAAAAGAAGGTACTTCACAACCATAGCATCTTTATTGTTTTTTGGTTTTGTTTCAAGACAGGGTCTTTCTCTATAGTCCTGTCTGTCCTAGAACTTGCTACATAGACCAGGATGGCCACAAACTCAGAGATTCACCTGCTTCTGCTTTCTGAGTGCTGATATGAAAGGAGTGTGCCACCACACCTGGCCATACACATCTTTATTCTAATTAACAGAAGGATTACATATATTAACCATAAAAGGAATGATCTCTTCCTTCCTAAGAAAATTACTCAAGAAAGACATGTTGGTACAGGCTTCTAATCCCAGCATTTAGGAGGTAGGGGCAGGAGGTTCAGCAGTTCAAAGTCATCCTTAGCTACACAGTGAACTTGAGGTCAGCACGCGCTATATGACATCTTCTTTCAAAAACCCAAACCCCAAACCAAACAAAGTGACTATCACAACACCAAAAAGCCCTCGTCATTGCATCTCCAAAGTCAAAGTAGTAAACACTATCAGCATCAAGACAACAAAGTCACATTTCTCAGTGAAAACTTTAAAAATAATTAAAAGCCAACAAACAGCAACATCGCTCAGTGAAAAATTTAAAAATAACTACAAAGTTAGGAAATGATAATTACACTGATCTGGCCAATACACATTGTGTGCATCTGTTAAAATGTCATATTTATCCCAATAATAAGTATAATTACTGACATTAATAAAATACAAATAATAAAAGTATTTTGTCATTTAGTACTTTATAATCACTTAAATAACAACAGAGTTATCCTTACCTCATGCCATTGTCTAGCTGGCTGGTTTTGTTTGTGTTGGCATCCCACAGATAAATGCAACTAGACTTCTCAGCAATCACCGCCAGGATATCCCCGTCTTTATCCCAATCCATGGCAACACAGTTGCTTTTAGAAAAGAGAAAATCATTACTGTCCACTTCTCAAAAGTCAGAGAGAAGAAACAAATACCGATCTAATGACTTCTGCCTCCCACAAGACCACTCAATACTTTTACTAGGACATGAACGTCCTAAAATGAGAAATTCAACCTGATATCCACTAGTAACACAAGACTAATCTCAATATTTCTGTTTCGTTTTTGTGTTGAAGGATGGAGAATTTTTTTCTTTTGGTTTTTCAAGACAGGGTTTCTCTGTAGCTTTGGAGTCTTGTCCTAGAACTAGCTCTTGTAGACCAGGCTGGCCTCGAACTCACAGAGATCTGCCTGCCTCTGCCTCCCGAGTGCTGGGATTAAAGGCGTGTGCCACCACCGCCCGGCTTCCT